CCCCCCCCCCCACTCCGGGCATGAGGCCCCCCAAAATGTGGTATTTTAGAGGGTGAACAGTGCCATTTGGTACGGTTTAGAACTATGATTTACAGCTAGTCAAAATTCTAATTTCAATAGGGGACCATTTGTATGATATTTTAATCAGAAATCAAAGTGGGATTGGGACCCCCCTGACCCCCCCCTAAATTTGCACTGATCTGCGAATCACCATTTACATATGTGCGTTTAAAAATGTTTGTTTAATTGTCTCTGTATAAGCAGCTCAGCTGGTATTTTACTCAGGTGAAGCTTGAAGATGCTTTAACATCATTTTCTTTAAGTCCTTGTTCCTTAAATTTATGTTCATTAATGACATCTTGATTTCTTTCAAACTGTTTATATTCATATACCAGTCTGATTGTCATCAGAAACCTTTTTTTCAATAAAATGCTCTAGATCCGCCATCTTCTAGTGTCTAACTGTCTGGTTCATACTCTGTTGGTGATACTTCCATTAACAACTGAAGAGCTGTTGTGATTTTATCTGAAAGTAGGAAAAATTTCATTTGTTTTTACTAAATTATTAATCTATCTATTTTCTATAAATCTGATTTGGAGAATTATTCACTGATCTGTATTTTAAAATCAATTTTTTTATCAAAATGTATACGTAAACTGATTATGAATTATAATGAAATTTATAGATAATCAAAATATCAAATATATGAGTGAAGAATGTACAAAAGTGTGGATTATTTTTTAAAAATTTAGAAAATTAACAGATTCAGAACATTTGTGAGATGACATTGGAATCAAAAATCTGCCTAAATAGAACTGTAAAGTGACAATTAAACAATGTTTTAATGGTGAATACCCAAAAATGTACTTACCAATGAACTTTGGGTGTATTTTAAAGTGGATGAAAGGCACATAAAAGATAAGTCCAGCCAAAATAAACAAGGTTGCGTACAGGTACTCCAGTTTAGGGGAGTCCACAATGGGAGCTATGACTAGGTACAGGGAAGCAAGCAGCATGAAAATTGGTATCACTATTGGAACCTGTGGAAAATACGGGAAATAGTCATCATTTTATGTTTTACTAAAAAAAAAAAATAAATAAAATAAATAAATAATAAAAGAGCAGATGGCTACAATCACAGTTACTGGAAACAGGAACGCAAGATATGAAGAAGTATAATAATTATATTTAGGAACATGCAGAAAAGAAAGTAAAATTATTTTATGAAAGACATTTTGCCACTTAAAAAAATATTTGCCAATATGAATGAATACCTTGTATGGCCTTGGCAGGTCAGGCTGTCTGAATCGTAGGACAAGAAGAGCAGCAAATGTCGCTCCATAAAACAACCAGGCAGTAAAACTAAAGAAATCGATCAGAGCAGATATATCTCCTGGAATGATCATCAGAATGGCAATGCAGGCCTGAAAATGGAAATGATTCAACAGACTGAAATAGCATGTCAATGTCCTGCAAGGCAATCCCCCCAAAATGGCTCATTCCATACCTAAGTATCATTTTTTTAAATGACAAAATTTAATAAAGTGTTTTCAAAATTTAGGAATTTATTGTAAATATAATGAAGAGAATGCATATAATAGATTCGAAACAAGGTGTATCAATACTAGCTAGACTTGCTTCTTTCCATACCATCACAGTTCAGTGCAGGTTTCAGAAGTCAATTATTTATTATTTATCTATTATTTTGTCCATTGTCAGATGCACCCTATGATAGACGGACCAGTAGCCAACACTTCCAAGGGGGGGGGGGGGGGGGGGTTTTTTTTTAAAAAAGAGGACCTTTTACCAAAAAAACTTCACGTACCTACGTACATGTAGATCAAATTTTACCCA